AGTCTTGTGCGGAGCCATCACCGCCGCCGCCAGCCGTCCCGCCACCCACGCCTTTTATGAACATACCGGTATGGAACCAATAATACCGCGGTTATTAGTTCTTCGGTTTCGTAAAGCTCGAATCGACCCCAAAAATACCGGATTTAAAAGATCGGTTGGCGTTTCAAAAACAATTCTGAGCCTAAAAGTGAAACTCCAACCTAGTAGGGTCACCGTTTCGCACGTGCCGGATCTTTGTGAGTGACCCACGATATTTTACTACCCATACTAGCTAGAACACGGACCTTTCCAATAAAGCCGCACTGTGTGAACTCGTTTCTCTAGGCACATCGATGTATCTAACCGTCTTGCGTCCCTTAGCGAGGGCATCCCAGCCGTGATGAATCCAGATTTCTTTTACTCATTTTCCGATTTTCCTCCACGTTTCAACTCACCCTCTTAGCCACTCGTCCTTACATCCTACCAACATGCGTTCATGGTTCGCTCGAGCCAACATTGGCACCGAGCATGACCAAAGTCGTCGTCGACTAGATGACCCTGGGCCACGGACGGAGCAAGAAGTATCTAACCGAGGCGGAAATTGTGAAGCTACGCAGAGCTCGTCAATGTACCAGCATCGCCAACGGACTAACCCGCTCGTACCACATCCCTCGACCGATGCGCCACACCCTCGTCAAACCACAGAGTATGTGGAACCGGAGCTCCATGGATCGTATGAACACACGTCTAGTTTGGGAGAGGCTTCACGCGACCTCTCCTGGCCGGTGGAACTTATCCGTCAGCCGCCGATCTCGACAAGTGTCCCTGTCGTCGTTCAAGACGCGATAAAGAACTATAAACCTCCGCCGGGGTTTCAACTAGTAATCCCTAAGGCAGGTGAGCGCTCAATCATCCTTCAGTGGGGTGTTCGTGTGACGGCAGAAATGGACGGCAAAACGTGCATGGGTTGGATATGTTTAGGTAGCGACAGCTGCCGAGACCATCCTCAGATAATACAACTGTACGGCAAAACCTCCAAAGCAACTAAACACTTGAAAGAAGTACACGAGGTTAATTCCGACAAAACAGTTCTCCAAGTCGATCGGAAGAGAACTCGTGATAATGAGCTGGAAAGGCTGCGGATTGCTGCGGTGAGGGCGAATGATGGCGCCCGTGTGTGCCTTCTTCTTGAAACACTGCGCATTGTTCTAAACAATTTACCGTTCCGGCTTGGAGAATATGAAGAATCGAAGTTGCTGAACGAGCTCGTCACTGAAGAACGGTATCGAACAACTATCAACGCGCAGACCGTGACACACTCTATCGTGGAATTATATGCATCTGCGAAGGGGGAGATGATGAAGTTTATTCACGACAACACTGTACCCGACTTCAAGTCACTCACGATCGTCAC